GAATGGGATCAAAATGTAATGGGTTGTAACCCATGTATGAAAAATATGCTTTACTGTAATGTATATCTAAAAACAACTAATAAAAACAATGAGCACATGAAACAACACTAAATCTCATCTGTCTGTGTATATAATAAAGTAGCAATGAAATGTGCTACACAGATATGGGATGGTTTAAATATTCCACAATGGCATTGAAGTGAAAATAAATGTATTACACCAAAACTGTATATTCACTGTGAAATCCAGATGCCCTAACGTAATATGTAAATCAAAAGGAATAATGACATATGCTCAGCTAGCATGAGCTCACCCATTCTCTAAGGCCAAAAATTAAGAAGTTTAAAAAGCAAATAGAAAGAAAAATGAAATCAGCTCTTACATGTCAATCTGCAGAGACAACAGGAATATTTACATGTATAACTCAATAATACTATTTTAAAGATAATGCAGTTACAGAATTCAGTGTATAATTTGAAATTACAGTTTCTAGATCCTGATGGGTAGAGATACTGGCCACTATTACAATTATATTACATATATAATTATGCATAATTTATAATTCAAATAAACTATTATTGTATATTGACATTATGATACTATGGGATAGCACCTTCATGGGATTCAACTTCTGTGAATATTCAACTTCTGTGCCATACCTTCTTTACTGATGATAATTGAAAACTTTATTATTTTTAGGATTAATATAAATTGTTGAGACTTTTTTGTTTTGCATTTTGAAGTTCCTCTGAGCATTATGTAATGGGAGAGAATTATGGCATGTCACTAATGTAAACAGAATCTGATGTGTTATTTTATAAACAGTGAGGTTCTTGACCACCACAGTAAAATGACATAAACTTGGAACCTCTACAAATGAGATACATGTCCCACTACCTAATATGGTTGTTTTCTAGTCATAGTATTAATTTCATATCCAGGAGAGTAATAATTGTTCTCGTCCTCAGACTGGAAGCCAGGGATTTACAAATACTCTGCATTGGTTGAGACATCTTATATCCAGAAACTCAATTGAGGAACCAAAGCCCCAGCTGATTGTCTGAGTCTGACTCAGATACAAGTATGAGTAGTGCTCAGATACAAGTCCTGCCAATACCACTACAGGTATTATATTTTACCAACAGTAGATCTCTCTTAAGAGTGCAGGTGAGTCTGGTTGTTGATCCTAGAGATGCAGAGCAAGGGAGTGGCTGTGTCAGCACAGGCAAAGAGAGGGAACCTGCAAGCACAGATCCATCACAGTGAAAGGTAGAGGCAGGGGATCAGTGACTTGAGTATTTGAGGCAGAGGGTAATGACTCAGGCTAAGGGCCTGCCCTTGGTCTCTGAGGCCTATACGTACCTGAGCATTGAGAGAATACTGGAAGGAGGAAAAGAGTTCAGGCCATGGTAGACATAGCTCCTTCTTAGTCCTCACTCTAAAAGCTCCACTGCCCTAGACCTCTTATACCAGCTCCATTGGTCTCCCAGAGTTGGGGCTGCTCATGCAATGTCCCTATTTCCTGTTTCTTCCCCATGTGTACTCACAGTGTCTGGGTCCCTGACCCAGGGAGGGTGGCATGATGAACTAGCTCACTTAGTAATTGAAGTTTAGGGTAAAAAAACTCTGGGGCCACACCAATGTCCAAGTGCATTAACTCTGCTCATCTTTGCATCAGTTTGTTTTCCTAAAATGACTGCTGCATTGAATGAAACATGTTTAATGTGGACCGTGCACATCATTAATGTCTTGTATTAGAGCATCAGCTCTGGGGAAATTATGTGACAAAATGGGCACAAAGAGTACTGGCAGGAGGATTCGTGGGTATGTGTGGTAAGATGAGAGCAGAAGAAACAGAAAGGAGGTGAAATGTCAAGTGCCTGTTACTGTGACTCCTGGGTCCAATGAACCTCATGTGGGAGAGCAGCAGGTAGTCCATAGAACAAGATGTGGGAAATACAATACCTGTTTTCAGATTCACAACGGAGATGCCAGGTGGAAGAAAAGGATGAAGGGAATTTTTTGTAAATATGTCAAAAAATTACATATTTGTACATATGTCAAAAATTATTTAGAAAGTTCAGAAACAAACACTGCTTCAGGAGTTTATTCCCCTCAAATAGGAATAATGTTAAAGTTAAATTAACACCTAATATGGGAATTAGATGAGTCTTTCATTTCTTCTTCCAGTCATTTATTCTTTGAGAATAAATAAGGTATTTCACATGCATCAGACACTACAGATACCTAGAGACTTCAAGTAGTGGTCCCAGGTTATGGGAACAGCAGGAGTCAGGCACATGGGGAGAGGAGATGGCCCAAAATGACACTCCAGGCCTGAGGAACATTTTCCTCATGCAAGTTAGGGAAGAGAGGTATCTCAGTGGTTGCAGGRCCTACAGATAGCAAGGGCTCAAAAGCTTTGAAAGAACTCAACTTCAACTTCATGTTGAGTTCATATAGGGGGTTACAGAGAAGGGAATAGGCACAGCCCCTGTCCTGAAGTTGAATGCATCACCAAAGCTGGTTGGAGCACCCAGGAAGTACCCATCACATGTGTTACAGGGAATCTTACATGGAAAGAAAATTTGATGTCAGGCCTCTGCTCTTAGCCAGCTGCAGGCAATGCTAACTTCTGGGGTAACTAATCCAGGATCCTCCTGTGGGAACTAGTGTCCCTCTGATGGGAACCCAGGTTCCAGGATCCACTCAGCCAGGAGAGACTCTATTCCCTGCCTGTGGTCAGAGGATCATCCTGTCCAATCCTTTCTTCCCCTCCTCCTGTCACAGGTGTCAGAACTGTGATCTGAAGGTGTCTATCTATTCTCCTCTAGCTTTTTTCTATTTGTCTCCTCCTAAATCATTATCTTATCTAACATTTGCATCTGCTATTCACAGTCATTAAACTAAAAAAAAAAAAAGGCAGTTTAGAGAGAAATGTAATTTAAGGGAAAAATGGGGAAAACGTGTTCTTGTTTGGTTGATTGATATAAATTTGTAAAACTTCACCATAAGATTTTTTATAAAATTAATAATCCAAAAATAACTTACATATATGTATGAGTACATTTAAATGTAGGTAGTATATTTACTTATCAGATCTGCCATACAATCATATATATGTGAGCACACACAGAATGAGAAAAAGAAAATAAAAGAAAGAGCAATTATTCTTACATATAATAGGTATTACTCTATTTCTTTCTAGATACCACCTTCTACATGAGTTAATTTAGAATAAGTAAATACATCTCAAAGACCATTATTATATAGACCACATCTCAAGTGGGCCCTGAAWTAGAATATATTATTTTATGATTTCCTATTATCACTTCGTGTTTACCCAGCAACTGAAGACATTGAAGGAATCATGTGCTCTACTCTTCCATTGATGCAGCCACAGATCAGGATGACAAATCAGCATCCACAGAGAACACATACCTCCTTCTGACCTGTTTCTCCAATAATTCATTGTGCACACCAGCTAACTTTAGGGCTACATGGAAATGCCACAGACTCYAGCTGATGTAATCTCTACAAGGAGAGAAAACTTTCAGGTTTGCCAGGAGGTTATATGTTTTGAAGACTGATTTAGAGCTCCACCAAATTACATTTTGCAAACTAGCAAATGCATTGGAGAAACTGGTTTGTGAGTCTGCATTGTGGTGGGATTAATTTCCATTCATACTTATGTGAACTTTTTAGCAGTTACATTATTTATTTAAACCACAAAAAGTTGAATTTTCAAAGGTTAATAAGAGCAACATAAGATAGCATTAATAAACACATCAGGAACATAACCTATATAGAGTTTCCTTTTTCTCATTGTGTATTACCTCAACATAATAGTTTATAATATTATTTTCTATGGATAAAGCAAAAAACTAACTCATAATGAATTTTCACACATATCTCCTTTACCTGTTTGGTCAGCATTGAGTACAACAGGGTCTGTTCATGTCCAGGTATAATCTTCAGTCCTACACTTTTGTGTCCTTCTTCAGAAGAGTCAGCCCAGCAGATGATAGAAGAATGTTTGGAAGTCAGACTTCTATGSAAGTTTCTAGTAATGCATATACTAGATATTCCTGTGATCCACTAAAATATACAGATATTCATATGGCCCACTGAAATATTCAGATATTCATATGACCCACTGAAATTATGCTTACAAAGAACTTTTGCAGATATACATCCCATGTTGTGGCTGACATTTGAAATTAGATCATTGTACCTTGCAATGACTTGATTTTTTTTATAAAGTTGGAGAGAAAGTTTTTTTTTTTTTTTAGAGAGAGAGAGAGAGAGAGAGAGAGAAGTTTTTAAATATTTATTTTTTAGTTTTCAGCGGACACAACATCTTTGTATGTGGTGCTGAGAATCGAACCCGGGCCACATGCATGCTAGGCAAGCGCACTACCACTTGAGCCACATCCCCAGCCCAGACGTGATATGTTTATATGGAAATAATTTAGACATGAATGGTGATTCTGACTGCATATTAATCATAAATCACCACAACTAAATTAATAACATAATTAGAAAAGCAAAATTGTATTATTTTTAATCATAAAAAATATAAAAGCATTTTGCTGTTATACTTTAAAAGCAAAGTAAGCAATCATTTTATCTCCATAATCAAATCATTGTATGAGAAAAGTCTAACCATCATTTGATAGTATTTTGAGTGAGAAGAGTCTTTAAGGTAGGGGAGGATTCTCTGAATCTTCCTGATGGTTACATATTTGGAGATGAGCTCCTCTGTTCCTCCTCCCAACCAAAGAGGGAGAATAGAAACTTAGTGTAGGAGGAGGTACACTGAGAACTGAGACAGGGTGAGGCACATGGCATGATCCACTGGTAGGACAAGGAGTCATGCAGCAGCAGCATCTTCCCATGAAAAGTGTTAAACATTTTCACCCTCTCAATCTCCTTCCACCCTGTAAAGTATAAGACATTCTGAGCACATGAAGAGGTTTTGGTTTTAATTCCCCATGGGTTTAGGTCACTTTGTGGATATCACTACCCATATAGAGTGAGCAGTAATAATCAGCMTCATCAGTCAGAGCCCCTGTGATGGTGTGGGCAGCTTTGTTTCCAAGGATGGAACCAGAGAATCCATCAGGGACTCCAGAGGGGCGGTTGTTTGTGCTATAGATAAGTGGGCGAGGAGCAAGTCCTGGATTCTGCTGGTACCAGCCTGGGTAGTGACCTGTAGAGACTGACCCAGATCTATGCCCACAGGTGAGTGTCACCGTYCCACCTGGAGACACAGAGAGTGAGGGCTCCTGGATCACAGTCGTCTGACAATCCACCACTAAAAGCAATAAGAAAGACAGTTGTTAAGAGAGGTCCTCCTAAAACAGTGCTTTTATGTAGGCACCCCAGRATGCAGTTACCCTCCCCTGACCTGAACCATAAGAGAGGAACACCAGTAGAACCATCRTCCAGGCCATGGTGGGGATCTTCACAAGCACTTAGTGTCCTCAAACTCCTCACTTTGAGTTTGGCATTTTAAGGCCTCTTCAGACTCAGGTTTTTCATGCAAATCAACTTCCTTTATCTTTCTGCCCCAGTGTTCAACCTGGTATCCCCTAGAGGAGATCATGAAAAGAGCAGGTGCTGGGGACTCCCACATAGACCAGTGACTGAGACACGTGAGTCTTAGTTGATGCCTTTCATAAAATCAGCTTCMTCACACTTCTTCAATCCAGGCACAAATTTCATCTTTTGAAAGTCAGAGATAGAGTAAAAACCAGGGTGAATTCTCCATGTCTACCTAGTTCATTTATTTTATCATACACCCAGGCCTTCCTGGTGAACATTTCTTTCTTCTCAAATAAATGAGTCTTGTTCCCCTTGAGTTAACTCTCAGGCCCTTTTTCTTCAGCATAGATTCAATTTTGACACTCCAGAGCCAGGATTATGGGAATCTCCATAGCCAGGTCCAGAGAGTTAGGGGTCTCCACTAACTGAGTATAGAAACTGTCTCAAGCAGCCTCAGTAGAACCCCAGGTTGAGATTACAGACACCCACAGCAGCAGCACAAAGTATGGGAAGCCATCTTCCTCCACCCTAAGATGTCATCAGTTATATGGCTTTAGCACAGATGTAACTACAGAATTTGAGATAAAGTATGAGATTCTTCCCAGCATAAAAAATAAGAAAAAAATAAAACCATGTTCAACATACTTGAAAACAAAATTTAAGAATATTTATGATCAAATTAATGTGAACATCTCTACCATTTTAAGACACTTCCACTTTTTTTAGTTTTTTGAGTATTTTTTATTGTGGAAAATATATATAACATAAAATGAAATTAAAATTGTGGTGCAGCCATCACCACTATACATTTCCAGAATATTTTCATCATCTTAAACAGCAGCTCTGTATCCATTAAATAAAAACCCCTATTTTTCACTTCTTCCAGCTCCTGGTAACCACTATTACACTTCCTGTGTTTGTGAAGTTGCCTACTCTAGGTATCTCATTTAATAGATTCATACAATATTTATCCTTTTGTTTCTGTTTTATTTTATTTTGCATAATGCTTTCAAGATTCATCATGTTGCAGAATTCATCATGTGGCAGAATTTTACTCCTTTTTATATGATATACATTTTCTCTATCCATTCTTCTGTTGATAGACATTGGGGCTGTTACCACCTTTTAGCTGCTATGCATAATAGCACTATTCATTTATTTATATGCTGTGCTGAGAATCCAACCCAGTGCCTCACACATGCTAGGCAAGGCACTCTACCACTGAGCACAACTGCAGCCCCATATTTTGCATAGTAGCACTAGGAATATAGGTGTGCCAGTATCTATTTGAGTTGCTGCTTTCAGTTCTTTTGAGATTTACCTGTAAGTGGAATTGCCCCCCTCTCTTTGGTGGATCATAAGGTGTTTGTTTGTTTGTTTGTTTGTTTGTTTGTTTTGAGGAACTGTCATACTCTTTTCTACGATGGCTACACCAATTTACATTCCCATTAGCAGTTTATGAAGGCTACAATTTCTCCATACCCTTACCAGTACTGTTATTTTCCATTTTTCTGATAATAGACTTCTTAATATATGTGTAGTGGTATCTAAGTGGTTGATTTGCATTTTCCTAATAGCTAATGTTGTGTGAGTATTTTTTTTCATGTGTTATGGACCATTTGAATATCTTTTTTAGAGAAATGTCTATTCCATTTTTAAAATTGGGTTTTTATTGTTCTTTTTATATTCTGGATATTAATCTTTTATCAGATTTTATGTGAAAATATCACCTCCCATTCTGTGGTTTATGTGTTCACTCTACTGCTTGTTTTTGATACACAGAAGTTTTTAATATTAATGCAGCTCAGGTTGCCTATTTTTTTCTTTAATTACTATATACAGGAAATCATTGATAAATTCAAYRTCATGAAGCTTTTTGCCTCTGTTTTTTTGTCAGAGTTTTATAATTTCAGCCCATTATAAACAAAGGTCTTTAGGCCATTTTTTATGTAGCATTAGGTAAGTGTCCAGCTTCCTTCTTTTGAATGTGGATATCCAGTTTCCCCAGCACCATTTCTTGAAAACACTGTCCTTTCCCTGTTTAATGGTCTTGTAAGACACTTCCACTTTTGAAGAAGATTAGAAATAATAAATGAGGATACTTGGGGAGTTCAGAATGAAACTGCTTCAATTCCCTTTTGAAGTACGATTTTCTTTTTTAAAATGGTGGTCATAACTTCAAACTAAAATAGAATTTCTAAATTGCTCATAATTATTTTATTATACTTKAATTGTTATTATTTTTCCTTCCAAATCATTTATGGTTTTTTTGTGTGTTTTAAGAGATCTACTCATATTAGATATAATGCTTCACATTAAATTTGGTTATGGCCAGTAGTCAAAAGGATCTGATAGAGTGTCCATACACAGATTTATTTAYGTGTGTTTGTAATGCAAAGATAAAGAGGAAGATCTGAAAGTTTAGTGACAAAGAAAGAGAAATGCTACTTTTAATACATAAAAACCTTAATATTATTAGTTTTTATGAGTTACATTAAAACTCACTGAAAGAAAATTACAAATTATTCAGATGCAATGTAAAACCAGGAAAAACAATGGGTTAATGTATTTATCACATATTTAAATACAGATGAATTAGGAAATCACAGTGACCAGCAAATAATCATAACTTCTACAGTGAGCACTGTCTGCCTCTGTAATTCTCTCAGTCATTCTCATAGAAACATGAATAAATAGTTTTCTCCTGTGTTGTCCACTTGGCGGTAAGGAGCCAGAGGTAAAATAAGGACTAGGAAACCTGGGAACAAAGAAGATTCAGGGGTATCAGGAGCTCATGTCAGCAAACCAAAAGCATCTCCCTTGTGTGTACAGGTGATACTGCTTGATTCAGGTAAGTGTTTAATTTGGGCTGTGCATTTTATCCCTGAAGGACCATACTGATATATGCTGCAACTATGGGAATCCACAGTGTATAGATTAGTCCCATTGAAGTCCAATTGAGGTAAGTTCTGTGACTTCATTTTTTACCCTACAGTGGCTCAAGTCCAACTTCTGAGACCTTAGAGGCTATCTCCCTGATTATGACGTTTGACATTTTCTCATAACTCTTATATCTGCTGACCCTTCAAAGTTCATGTTTAGCATCCTTCATAGACTTCACATATACACTAATAATAATAATAATAATAATAATAATAATACTATCATCCTATTTTTAGTCCAAATCTTTCCTAATGGTCGATAAGTCTTTCTCAGTCCAATATGAATTCCACTTACTAACATACTGCTAAACTGTGGGTACATTTTGAGTATCTGCCAAAAGTCTATACATATAGGCTTCTTCTCAGGGTAGTAGTACCAGAAGGTACTATCTGATGATAGTACATTGTGAGAGGGGGTAGGGCCTTGTAGGAAAGCCTTAGTTTATTGGAGGTATGTTCACAAATTTGGTGGTTATATAACACCCTGTTTCTTCCCTCCCCAATAAATGTCCTGGCTTAAGATGCGAGCATTCACCTTTGCTCACTCTTCCCCATCTTATCATATGTTTTCCAGTGTCTAAAACATTTGGCTACCCATGCCAAGCTTAAACTTCCAAATCCATGAATCAAAATAAACCTCTCTTTACTTTATATAAACCATTTGTTGTCTATGTTGTTTTACTAAAACCAAGTCAATTAATACTCATAAGGTGAATTTTTTTGCATTTTTCTCCATAAATTAAATGGGCTCTAATTTCCTATTTTCATTATTGAGATCTACTCTTGTCTGATTTCTTCTTATTTTCTCTCCAGACABTCTTCTTGTTTGCTTCTTTATCTAAATTTTATCCTGCTCTGTGACTATTTTTCCATTCTGCCTGGACAGCAGGCCTAAACGATCACTCAAACAGGATGGAAAGATGAAATAGGACGCAAAGGTGTAGGTCAAATCCTAATGCTCATGTGGCTTCTGGGAACCCAGATGCAGGAAAGTCACACTTTGCTCAGGACACCTTCTGCACAGGGATGTAAAGCCTTTTTGGTTTGGTCCTGTCATGAGTAGTTCAACATGTCCCCCTGCTGGTCTCTGGTCCTAGGTCTTCAACCTTCTCATAACCTAGCAAGAGCAAATGAACCTTTTTTATTTTATTTCCCTGCAAGTAAAACAACCTTGGTTTTTGTGCTGAGAACTTTTGTTTTTCAGTTTCTAATGGTCTCCAGAACTCTAAATACACTATTTATGGTACCACATATTTCAGAATTACCTGTTATATATTTGGCTATGCTTCAGCCAGGTATCTTTGGTTTTTCCCAGTGTATGAAATGTTTGAAAAATGTTTAAAGGCTAAMGTTCAGGAGGGGTCATAACTATAGTAATTCTGTCTTTGCTGCTCTTAGAGGTTCTCATAATGTCAGGTTGCACCTTTTCTCAGAGTCTCCTTTTGTGTTCTCGCTAACCCTACTCTACAGGCCTTTTCTTCAGATGTCTGTTTTTCCCTATGAGAATATAATATTGTCAGGGAATGAGTGTTTTCTGCTTTGACTTGCTCCTCTGTACTCTAATTTGCCCTCGACTATCAAAATCTGACAAAATAAATTGTATTTGGACTCTAATATGTATATTATTCTAATTTTATATTTTTTCCATATGAGTATTAATATAAAATAATATTGCCATGAATATAAATTACTGTTTTTAGTGCTCCTACAACTCCTCAATTAAGCAATCATTGTGAATTTTTATATCAGAAGAAGTGTTCTTAATCAGGTTCATTTGTCAAGAGTTGCATGGATTTAAATGTGGGTAGGTTTACAAAATCTAGTTCCAAAAATCCTGATACTTATCCAACATAATTTCACCTGAAGATTATTCAGAGAAAAGCATAACTTTTGAGGCCTGACATGGACAAATGAGCATGGTAGGGGTTGGAGAGCTATATCTTACTGGATAAGGTCCATTCTTCATC